ATTATGTAGTATGCTATCTGGACACCTTTGACTATTTTCTATGATTTGGGACATGCTAATCTTTATCTTGCATACTGTATGAGATGGATAGTATGCAAACAGAAGCAGATATGCAGCATCATTCAGCATCCTATTTTCAACACTGAGATGCACTAATATTAACTGCATGCTATATAAGACAAATAGTGTGTGAACAGATGCATACTCCAAAACTTTGTCAACACTAATATAATAGACAGTGTGGAAAAAGACACATACTTCAAAAATCAACAGCAAATCGTACACCACCCATGCACACATATTCAACATACTATATTTTTAAGAGATGCACTCATCTTAATATTGCATGTTATGTAAGATAGTATGTGAACAAATGCATTTCTGCATACTATGATATCCAGTTATTATATTGACATACTATGATTTAAGAAGTTTACATAATATTTATTATGGAGGGCATGAGACTGATGCATACTTATAAAATCCATCGTAAATACTATGCAATCCAGTTACTTTTAACATACCATTTTAAAAACACTATGATTTGTCATGCACTAACTTTAATATTGCATGCCATATCAGATACTAATATTGTATGCTATATCAGTCACTACTGACATACTAACTTCAGCATACTCTGATTTAGGTAGTTTACTCTTAATCTTGCATACAATTTGAGCATGAGACTGATGCATACTTAAAAAAATCCATTGTAAATACTATGCAATTCAGTCACTTTTGACATACTATGATTTTAGTTGCACCAATCTTAATATTGCATGCTATATCAAATACATTGTATGTGAACAGATGCATACTTGCATACTATGACATCCAGTCACTACTGAAATTCTAATTTCAACATACTGTGATTTAGGTAGTTTACTCTTAATCTTGCATACAATTTAATATGGAGAGCATGAGACTGATGCATACTTTTAAAATCCATTAAATACTATGCAATTTAGTCACTTTTGACATACTATGATATTAGATGCACTAAGCTTAATATTGCATGCTAAATAAGAGAGATAGCATGTGAACAGATGCACACCTATGGCATCCAGTCACTATTGACATACTATTTTCTGCATACTATGATTTAGGAAGTTAACTCTTAAATTTGCATACTTCTTAATATGGAGAGCATGAAACTCATGCATACTTAGAAAATCCATCTTAAAGGCACAATATGTAATTTTCGCCGCTAGAGGGCGCATATTCAAAATAAACAAATAGACAAAGGTGTAGTTTGATGATGCCGTGACTGAGTGTGGAATCGTACATTTGAAAGTTCTGTTATAATACTACTCTGTGCGGTCGTCACCGGTCTATTAAAATGCACAACATATTAAAGCGTCTTTGGTGTTTCCATGTTTTCTACAAAACCGGAAATCGAGGGGTTATGACGTCATTGGCAGGCGACACAATGACACTATGGACACGCTCCGTGTCACTAGTTAAAATTGCTTATTTCTCTGGATTTAAACATTCTTTGAAACATTTGGGATAATGTAAGTACACAAGTCAGCAAAATATATAACACTGTTTTTGGATATTTTAATAAAAAAATCTTACATATTGTGCTACTTTAAGTAGTAGTACCTTTTACATTATATTTTGAACATACAATGATTTGGAGTGTGCCAATCTTAATCTTACACACTAGTTAGTAGTTAGTATGCAAAAGGGGATTCTGGGAGTTCGATTAGTCGGAAAACCCTTCATCCTCTTCCTGTTGGAACTGGACTGGTACCTTTTAATAGCCAAGGGAAGACACTGCTTGTTCTGTTAATGGGAGCCATCGAGCCAAAGGCAACACAAATCTGATTTCTCCACAATGTTAATATTCCTCTCTATGATTCTCACTGAATCAAACACTGAATGAAGAATTGGGATGGCTGAAATAGGCAGCTTGCTCTCATTACATGAGAAACATTATTGAAAGGCAACAAGGGTGTGAAAGTTTGGCTCTAAACGATCCAGATTTTCTTCTCTCATGATTTTAAGGGTCTGCAGAACACAACAACAACGAGTAACCAAAACCAGAGACAAAACACACGTGGGCAATAAACAATCGTTACAACATGCCATTTGTTAAAAATAATTTGTTTACTCTCAAAAGAGACGCACACACCCAGCAGGCTGAATGAGCGAGGCCGGTCAACCGAGAGTGTCCGTAAAACACTCATAAAACAGCACTAGTGTGAGTAATAAAGCAGAACAGCCCTGCACAGGAAGTGCAGCTGCATCCCTGTCAGCCATTTTTGCCTTTCTCAAGCTTTTCAAGCTTCTGTCTACTGTGACGTAAAAGCGCCGCTGTATCCCACAACTTCCCGCAGCACGTCATTCTCTACCTACAGATCTCATTCGGTTAGTCCCGCCCACTGCATGACATCACCATTAGACCACGTGTCGTGGAAGCAGTGAGCGCTGCTGACTGACTCAGCTTCGATAGAAATGCTTCCCTGCGAGTCTGGCTGCGGATCAAGTCCACCATCGTTTCTACATTACCCCACTTACACGCGTGCTCTAAAAAACTAGAAGCATACAGAAATTAAGTACACTACATAGGGATCAGAGCTGTATTTAGAACAGAGCCCAAAGCATTCTAGATTGCAAAGGAAACTAAACAACTTTAAATTTCAGTCTGATTCGATGCTCAGTGACAGATGTTCTTAATATGTAAAGCAATCAATCAAGTCGATGAATCACTCCAATTAATTCAGCCTTGACTCATGCAAGCAAAAGTGATAAAGTTGAGTGATTTAACAGTTACGATAGACTCCTAAACTGTAAATCAATGGCTCTCAAGTGCAGCAAAAGAAACACTTTTGGCTGTTAAAAACTAGATTTCACACCATTTGACCAATGAATTTCCATGATTTTTCCAGATGTTCATGATTGTGTTTATTAAAAAAACAATTTAATATTTCAGAGCTTAACCAGAAATGTTTAATTTCTATGACATTTCCAGGTCTGGAAATTACAGTTTTAAAATTACAGGTTTTCCATGATCTAAAAAGGTTCTCGAGTTGCTATAAGGTTCTTTGGCGATTAAGAACCTCTTGATGTTTCATTATAGGATCTTCAGATCAGTGTTGTGCCTTCTAGAGAATATATAGTCAGATTATAAAACTGTTTAAGATTCTAATTGGAATCTTGATTTTTAAGAGTGCATCTGCTAAGATCATTGCCAGATTCATTCTTTATTAAATACTGAAAATCAGCATGTTCTTGAGAAGTTCCTGGATCAAAATGTTCTCAATAATTCTATCATTATAATGAGCAGCCAAGCAGCCATGACCAGACACGAAGCTAATCACACATGCGGAGCAGAATTTCCACCCCCTTCCTCTATCCCTCCCCCTCTTTCTCCTCCTCCAGCCTGAAGAAAGAGAGAGAGGGGTACTCCCTGGGACAGGCTGGAGAAACGAGGAGGATGAGAATGAGAGATCATATCCTGTCTGCTTTGGCTCTGTCGTTACTGTACAAACCACAGATTCACGTTCACAACTATTAAACTCAACACTATCAAATCTGAGTGTGATACAGAGCTTCATAATGACATGACACTAAAACCAGATGTCAAACAACTGATGCAACCATAGAAAGTTGGCTCTTATGTGCTAAAAAAAAAAGAACAAATTGTTCTGCATATTGCATGCATGATTTAAAAAACTAATCTTGAGTTTTAACTAATGGCATATTGCAGATGAGATCAGAATGTATGTGATTTGATAAATGCATGAAGTTGCTCTCTACAATAACTGTTCTACATAGTCTCCTAGGTAATTCCTTCTATAAGTGGTTTGCAAGATAATTGCGAGCTTCACCTCGAGCATCTCTGATCTACTAGAGAAGACATGCGGCGACGCCACCCTGACCCACTGATGTTCTTCATTACAGATCATCTACCAGGAGCCAAGACATTGCAACTAACGAGCATTTATCTATCTGGTTTTTCAATAAACTGAGAGGACAGCCAGAGTGATGGGTTCGTTTTATGAGCCTATGGAAAAACATAAACTTCTCTCTGTCTCTCTCTCTCTCTTTCTCTCCTGGTGTGTTTCTCATCTTGCATATTTTTCCAATTACGTTCTGCTGTCAGCGCGCCTGCTGGAGGAAAACTACTTTCTGCCAGATCCCCTAAAAAGCATGTGAACCATCTTCCAAAAAGTCTACAAAACTCGTTCTAGGTTGAGTGTTCACACATCAGCATTGATCATAATCTGAAACCAAAAGGGGTCCTGATGTCATACAACCCTAAAGATAAAGCTTCTTCAATGGTTCCTTTAAGTTCCTGAAATTCAGCAAAGAAGCATTTGGCTGTAGAGGTTCTTCAGATCAGCGTTTTGGATTCAGGATTCGGTGAAGCATCAGTACATAAATGGCTCTCTACAGAAGGTTCTCCTGCGACGTTGCTTCTAACTGAAAAGTTTAAAAGTTCCACCGATGACTTTTTATTCTCTAGTTCTAGAAAACTAGACCATCTAGGCTGCTTTACAGATACCAGAACCAATACTATGAAGAGAAGAACCTATAATGCAATATGAAGAACCGTAAACAGTCGCAAAATAACCATTGAGGAACTTTTTTAGGGATGCATATGAAATCCTGGAATCCAGATTTCTACTATGACGACGCAATTTACTAATTTGCATAATAATAGTGTACGGGGAGCAGCGCAAACGAGCTGCATGCCACAATAGATGATGCATCACGATATCCTCATGCAGCGGTTGCTTTGCACAGGAAAACTTCCCTGATTCCGTTATTCGCTGCTGCTCTAGTGTTTCCCCACAAAAAAAAACGGAACTTCGGACGTTCCTAGTTGAAAAATCCCACTCTAGGGCCCCTACCATCCCCTCCTCCGGTCATTCGAGTCCTGGGACAGCGGACTGACCGTGGAACGCACTCGCGCAGGAGAACCGCAGCCCCGGGAGAGCGCGGCCCGCGGCACAAAGTAACAGTTTGGGAACAGCTGATTCGCCGCTTACCTGCGCTGACTCGTGAGGTGACAAACATCAGGAATACTAGGAGTACCGAGAGCCGCACCTCCTTAAACCTCCGCTTTACTTTCCATCTGATAGGTGTATCCATGACCACCTGCGCCCGTCCTGACGCGAAGAGTTTGGTTATATTATTTTGACAACTGCTTGATATCAGGACAGAACCAGTAACCCAACAGTCCCGGAGAGAGAAAGCGCGAGAGCTCAAAGCCTCTCATGCAGCCATACGTTGATAAAGTCCTGCGGGAACATTCAGTGGATGGATGGGGCACCTCTCTCCCTTCTTTTCCCTTCTGTTCTTTCCTTCCCTTCAGTGCGCTGCAGTGATGCCCCCGTCACTGAAACTTCGCGTAGCCAAAGTGGGAAAAAACTTCATTCACACGGACTGTCAGTCATGCGGCAGTCAGCATGTTCTTGAGACGCTCCTAGACCAAAATGTTCTCAATAATTCCATCACTATAACGAGCAGCCAAGCGGCCATGACCAGACACGAAGCTAATCACACATGTTGAGCAGAATTTCCAACCCCCCTCCCTCTATCCCTCCCCCTCTAGCCTGAAGAAAGAGAGAGAAAGAGAGAGAGGGGTACTCCCTGGGACAGGCTGGAGAAACGAGGAGGATGAGAATGAGAGATCATATCCTGTCTGCTTTGGCTCCGTCGTTACTGTACAAACCACAGATTCACGTTCACAACTAATAAACTCCACACTATCAAATCTGAGTGTGATACACAGAGCTTTGTAATGAAGTGACACTAAAACCAGATGTCAAACAACTGATGCAACCATAGAAAGTTGGCTCTTATGTGCTAAAAAAATGAACACATTTTTATGCATATTGCATGCACGATTTAAAAAAAAAATCTTGGGTTTTTACTAATGGCATATTGCAGATGAGATCGGAATGTATGTGATGCATCTCTACAATAACTGTTTTACATAGTCTCCTGGGTAATTCCTTCTAAGTGGTTTACAAGATAATTGCGAGCTTCACCTCGGGCATCTCTGATCTACTAGAGAAGACACGCGGCGACTCCACCCTGACCCACTGATGTTCTTCATTACAGATCATCCACCAGGAGCCAAGACTTAAGACTAACGAGCATTTATTTACATGTATCTATCTGTTTTTCACTAAACAGAGAGCCAGAGTGATTGGTTCGTTTTATGAGCCTATGGAAAAACATAAACTTCTCTCTGTCTCTCTCTCTCTTTCTCTCCTGGTGTGTTTCTCATCCTGCATATTTTTCCAATTACGTTCAGCAGTCAGCGCGCCTGCTGGAGGAAAACTACTTTCTGCCAGATCCCCTAAAAAGCATGTGAAACATCTTCCAAAAAGTCTACAAATCCCGATCTAGGTTGCGTGGTTTATGTTCACACATCACACGGAGTCTGAAACCAGAATCGGTCCGGATGTCATACAACCCTAAAGATCAAGATTCCATGAAGTCTTTGAGATTCAGCAAAGGATCATTTGGCTGTATAGAGTTTAGGTTCTTCAGATTCTGGGTTCTGGTGAAGAATCACTACATAAATGGCTTTCTAAAGGAACTTCAGAAGGTTCTCCTGTGACATTGATTCTAACTGAAAGGTTTAAAAGTTCCACCGATGACTTTTTAATCTCTACTTTTAGAAAACTAAACCATCTATGATGCTTTGCAGATGCCAAAACCAATACCATGAAGTGAAGAACTTATAATGCAATATCAAGAACCCTAGTAAACAGTCGCATAGAACAACTGAGGAACCTTTTTTAGATTTGCATATGAAATCCTGGAATCCGGATTTCTACTATGACGGTTTTATTTACTAATGTGCATTAGAATAGTGAGTGGTACACCAACTGGGAGCAGCGTAAACCAGTTGCATGCCACAATAGATGATGCATCACGATCTCCTCACGCAGCAGTTCCATTGAACGGGAAAACGTCCCTGATTCCGTTATTCGCCGCTGCTCTAACGTTTCCCTGCAAAAACGGAACTCCGGACGTCCCTAGTTGAAAAATCTCACTCTAGGGCCCCTACCATCCCCTCCTGCGGTCACTGCAGTCCAGGGACAGCGGACTGACCGTGGAGAAGCGCAGCCCCTGGTGAGCGCGGACCGCGGCACAAAGTAACAGTTTGGAAACAGTTGATTCGCCGCTTACCTGCGCTGACTCGTGAGGTGACAAACATCAGGAATACTAGGAGTACCGACAGCCGCACCTCCTTAAACCTCCGCTTTACTTTCCATCTGATAGGTGTATCCATGACCACCTGCGCCCGTCCTGACGCGAAGAGTTTGGTTATATTATTTTGACAACTGCTTGATATCAGGACAGAACCAGTAACCCAACAGTCCCGGAGAGAGAAAGCGCGAGAGCTCAAAGCCTCTCATGCAGCCATACGTTGATAAAGTCCTGCGGGAACATTCAGTGGATGGATGGGGCACCTCTCTCCCTTCTTTTCCCTTCTGTTCTTTCCTTCCCTTCAGTGCGCTGCAGTGATGCCCCCGTCACTGAAACTTCGCGTAGCCAAAGTGGGAAAAAACTTCATTCACACGGACTGTCAGTCATGCGGCGAGCGGCCAATCGGACAGCATCGCCCAAAATGCGCGGCTTCTCATTGGTTGGTGCTGTGGGTAGGCGGGAGGTTTACAGTGTGGGACTTGATTTACTCTCTTTGTCTGCAAGATTTGAGTCGATTGCAGACTGTCTTTTAGTATTTTTGACTCATCTAATTTGATGGGTGTAACAGCAGAAAATCACCCAGTTAATGGACCCTTGTTAATATAATATCCTATATAAATAATGCAGAAAAAAAACAGATCTTTATGTGTCTAGCATCAAACAGGCCTTGTAATACTAAAAACCCATATGGAAAACTGAACATATATAACTTAAAATGGATTTTGCATCACCCAGAAGGGGTTTATTTTTACAATAATGATCGTCTGATTGCTTGCAATGCGCCTGTTTACTAAAATAAATAAGTAAATGCATCTGAAATATTGGTTAGATAACAATATTCCTTTGTAATTGACCAGTGTAATGCATTTTGAATCACCATTGCGTATGAAATACATAAATAAACTTGCTTTTTCTTACCTTGCCTTGTGAACTGTTCTGAACAGTGCTGTGAATCCTGTGTTCCTAAAATTAAAGTTTGCAGACTATTTTAGGGCTGAAACGATTCAGGAGCTCCTGACGTATGCGACAGCTGGAGCACACAAGACCACAAGGGTGATGACCTTTTGACACGGGTCCGAATGTACAGAGGGGAAGGGAATCCTGTTCAGGTTACATGTAAAACAAAATGAAACCAGTTACTTCCCCTACAAATCAATCAATCAAGTTTTAAATAAATGCATAAATATACATTTAAAAGTAGGTAAAAGAGGTGTAATATTACGATAAACTCAGTTGCAGTTTTGTGTAAGTTATTAGATATGGCAATATCCGTATTATATAGTGCCAGGTTTATTAGACAACTAGATTAGGAAGCCAGCTATGGAAGAGAAAAAATGCAGAAAAGAAAAAGTTTATGAGTATATGGGAAATGATTTTGAAGTAAATAGCAATTATATGGGAAGTATATTCATTTTGTCTTTGGGAACTGATTGGCCCATATGACCAAAAAAAGTAAATAATTGAATAATAATAATAATTAATAATAATAATAGTAATTCTGGCTAAAATATATATTTTTTAATTTAAAATATATTTATTTTCAACTTTCATATATTAAAATATATTTCAAAATGTATTTCAGGGGCAAGAAAATACATTTCCAGCCGTTTATAGGGTTCTAACAACAGTTAATAGCAGAATACATTAATGAATGACAATGGACATTGAACATAAATAAATGCTTAAAGAAATAAAACAAAATAGAACATAAAACAGTGTATTGAAGACCAAGCTCCTCTATGATGCCTTTAAGTTAATCATTACCTGTATTTTGGTGTGATTGAATGGCAGTTTCTCTCTGCAGATGATGAGGTTGTAGGATGTGACAGCATCTGAAATGCACAATTGAGTT